GATAGGGGATCAAATACTTATTTCATTCATGAAAATGCAAATTAATGTATAACTTTTTTGTAATGCATTTTTCTGGATTTTTTTGTTATTGTTGTGTCTCTCACTGTTCAAATAAACCTACCATTGAAATTGTAGACTGATCATTTTTTTGTTAGTGGGCAAACTTACAAAATCAGCTGGGGTTCAAATAATTTTTTTCCCTGACTGTATGTTCTAGTACTTCTACACAGAAGCAACTCAGTTTATAGAAATCTTACAAACTCTCGCTTGCGAGACTTTTTTTTTTCCTAACAATATAAAGTCTTACATGATAGTTTAAGGATTCCCTTGAATGGTCACAATCTCCAGGCAGTTGCATGTTCAAGTGGATGTCAGGCAAGCTCACATCCACCAGTGCCATTGTAAAAGCTGATTTTTTTCGACGGCTTACACTGTGACCAGAGAATGTGAAGAAAAATACAGGGCCTGAGGTTACTGGATATTAAGGAATGTTCCTACACAGCACATCTGGCAAACTCAAGGCCCGCGGGCCACATCCGGCCCGGCGTACAATTACACCCAGCCCGCGAGATCATTTTCTATATCTCTTTTTAATGGCCCAGCGATATGAAGGGCTGATAACACACAAACTACAAATCCCATAATGCAGCGCAACAGCTGCCTTACCGAACAATAGGCTACCTGCCATCATTCCCGCATCAATTACGTCAGATCAATCAAGCTTCTGTTGATGTAATCAATCAAGCGTCTGTTGATGTATACAACCCTAATTTCAAGTCAAAGCTAGCCCCTAACAATGGCCAAGAGAAAAGCTGATTCTGAAAACAGAGCCTTTCAAAACCGGTGGGAGGCTGAGTATATGTTTACTGACATTGTCGGTAAACCCGTGTGTCTTATTTGTGGAGCTAATGTGGCTGTAATTAAGGAATATAACCTAAGACGGCACTACGAGACAAAACATCAGGACAAGCTGAAAAACGTGAATGAAGAGCAGAAGCTACAGAAGGTAGAGGAGTTGAAGAGGAATCTGACCCGGACATTTACTGAGGGAGAGTTTCTGAAGAGCTGCATGATGAAAGTGTGCGACGTCTTGTGTCCAGACAAAACCAGGTGTTTGCAAATGTAAGCCTTAGCAGAAATACGGCTGATGATTTTAAGTTCAAGTTTATTTATTTTGGAATAATATTGTATCCTCTCTGTTTCGATTCATATTGATGTTCAAAAAACATTTTGTTTTAGTCTGTTCAATAAATGTTTATCCTGTTCGGCCCACAACCTAAAGTGTGCTTTGAGTTTTGGCCTCCTATGCCATTGAGTTTGACACTGTTTTATCTGACCAGGTCTAACATGGCGTGAATGGAGCAACTGGAAACCTACAAGCAGCCAGCCTGTGAAGCCCTCTGCAGTGGTGAATGATCAGCTGATCAACGCTGGATTCCCCCGGAGCACAGTACCTCTGTTTTTGACTGTTTGAAGCCAGTGTGTCTGCCACATGTGACGTGATGGGTTTCGGTTTGGCGGGAGGATTCTAATGATCCATGATGTTACTGTCAGTGCAAGGCTACCTGTTGGAATTAATTTCATTACTTTGGGAATGTATGTTGTTGTGTGGGGGAAAACAAAACAATCGGCAAGGCTACCTGTTGGAATTAAAGCTACTTGAAAGGGAGTGATGTTTCCACTACTCGGTGAGACTTACAGGTAAGTTAAAAAAAAAAAAAAAAAAATCAAATAAGTTGCATGTCTGTTAATGCTTTACTTCTGTTAGGTTAGAGAGAATTGTTGTAAGGCTAGAGAAGTTGCTATGTCTGCATTATGTCAGTTAAAATATGGGATTTCTCAATTACCCGCTTCGTTTAGTGTTACACATCTCTTTTCAATCTGTACATATACAGTTGTTTACCTGACTATGGAGGAGAAATTCAAATTAATTAATGGTGTTGCGGTTTGTTGTGCTGCTCACTTTCATATTCTGGCTTGAACATGTCAGGTAGGATTTGAGACACTGTCACTGTCGAAAACATAACTTATCTGCCAGTGTTTTTTGTTTATGCGTTGTCCTGGCTTCCTGACTGGCCTTGTGTTGAACAGTGATACCCCATCAAGATGGGTTTCCCCTGTCCAAAACTCTGTTTCATGTAGCACCCCCTCAGTGGCTGTGGTTAGGATAATGTTAGGGAAAACACATTGCATGCCTACAATAAGTTCAACCCAAAATAAAAACGCATCAGATCTCGACAACACCAGCAACAGGAGATGTGCGCGTTCATGAAGTATCCTCGTGTTTTTAGGAAGAGGCTCTCTGGTGTTATCATTCTAAAATAATTACAGACTATTTGGAGTTATGAGGGGTGCCAAGCTAATGTAGAGGTACACAAGATTAAACAGTAAATGGCTGGAAATGAGCATGCCATGGGCTCTTTAATGTTTTTAGTATCAGTCTTCCTCAGTATATTTGAAAATACATTGTAAAAGTTGTCAGTTTCTCTGCAGTTACAGTGGATTCCTCTGATGATCTATTTTCATAGCATTAAAAAAAAAAAGCATCATAACATTCAAAGAAATTTTTCAAACCACTCCTGCGGCATGATTCACTCCTCTGCTGTCCATGTTGTCCTATGCTCAATATGTTTCAAACACTGTATTACTGTCTTTAAGTGGAGGTGAGCAGATCTTAAGGATGTTTTGATGCCTACAATGAGCTCAACCCAAAATAAAGCAGTAGCCTGCAACAGTAAATCCCCATATCACAGAGAAATAAAATGGGTTAATCTTTAACTGTCATGAATACTAACCATTATATAATGATAAAGTTTCTGGGCTCAAATGATCTCATTTTCCTCCTAAAAACTATCCCAAAGAGGCTTACAAGACATATTACACAGACAATACAGCTATGTGGTTTCCCAACAGTTGTGTCAGGGTGAACCTTACTTTATGATTAGTGTTGAAGGCTAGAGCGCGGACTTTGCAATTGTATGGGTTGGTTAACTCCTTTGGAATGTCTTTGAGGGCACGGTGGGAGATGTGGGCATAGGAGGGTACTGCCTCATCATTCTGAGTCCTTTCAGCCTGGCTCATTACTTCCTCTGTTACCTCCCACAGGCCCATGGAGCCATCTCTGGACCCTACAAATTAAAATATACATTAACTATAACTGTATTACTAAATGCATACAAATGTGCCCTAGGATTGCCATCAGGGTATCAAGGGGGCTCACTTGGACTGTTAGAAAACTTATGCCGAGCAGACACTGTATGACTTTTACTAATCGTATACGAAGTGTTAACTCACACTATACATTTAAATCGGCACGACCGCACGGTCAGAATCCACGACTTCACTGCTCACACTGGACGTTTAAACAGAAACCCAGAGTAGGTGTGTTCATTGACAAGTCCAGTAAAGTTTAGGTCAACCAAAAGAAAAACTGCACTGCTTTTAGCCATTTTACTTCGTACAGCTGATGAACAGTGATAATCTGCTGTCAATATTTCTCCCATTGCTCTAGATCATGACAACATTTTGATGACACATTGTACAGTGTGGTGCTACCAGAGTTCAATTAGCCTTGTCCATGTACAGTTTATAAATGTGTATGTAGTCTATGGCCTGGTTTCATTTGATTCTGTCCAAAAAATGTGGTATCTCATCTGTGCCATGTTAATGTCTTTGGATTCATGCCAGTGCAATGAACAAACTTCAGACCATGGATCTGCAACACAGCTAACCAGATTTCTGACATGCCAGAAATTCATCCAAGTGGCCAGGAGGCAGCTCACTGGTTGTTCAGGTGATTAATTGGGCATCAAGGCCAGTTCACACTGTACATCAAACAACAAGTGATCTCTAAATGTAGTCAGGCATGACTGAATTGGGTCTAAAATCGGGCCAAATCCACGCAGTGTCTGCTCAGCTTTATGCAGACATATAATGCTCACTGAACAATGGTCACACAACATGAGTCATTCACACACCTCAGCTCACACAGGCAACTCACCAGAAACTGCCAAGTTGTCACTGATCCATGCTATAGAGAAGATCCAGTCATTGTGGCCATCCTGAAAAACAAATGGCTATTGTGTAAAAACATGTTAAACAGCTGGTACACTCAAGGTGTCTGACTATAACTGACCAATATTCTTCATACTCAATACACTGCCTGAAATTTAAAAAATTTTTTCCTTTCATTTAAATGCTGTCTGCAATGTCTAACAGCTATTTGAAGATCTGGCTCTGAATTAAAACAGTTGAAAGACCACAGCTGGTTACTAATGGCACACTTACAGTGATGTTAATCAACAAGCCCTATGCCAGTAGACAGAAATAAATACATTAGAGATGCCCCAATCCAAAACTACCGGTAAGTATCGTTGCCGATCCGGAGATATTTCACAGGATCAGTATCAGCCAGAATAAACCAATCAAATTCCAATCCTTATTTAGAACTACAGTCCTGTATTTGAGCAGACTCAGTCATGTTTGCCATGCAACCTACAAGCTGCTATTAATCAATCTAGCCGTCTACACTGCCTGCATGATGGCTGGCATATCACTCCTGTTTTACACACATAGCCCTGTACTGAAGCCTACTTTTAACTTCAAATCTGTTTTTTCAGAGCTACACGTATTGAACGGTGGAGATCGGCCTTGACTGATGACTGAGCGATCACTGAGATTTCTGATTCTGTGCCGATCAGATTTAGGAGGCAGGACAGTTCAAGTAGCACATGCAGTGTCACAGACCAAAGTGTAGGTGTGCAGCATGTAGCATCTCGTGTGCACCTCAACTAAAGTTTGCGCTCATGTCTATGCTGGGCACATGTTCACTCACGCACTGAAAGTGATTAAAGAAGGCTACACATGAAATGCATCCATACGTTCAGTGTATCCAATCCCTGGTAAAACACCAAATACACACTCAGTAGTAATTGGCATTCCTCTGTTTCTATTATCCATTGCACCTACAATTGTAGTACAAATATTGCACTTCATTTTTAGTTGGTGGTTGTAGATAAAAAAGAAAAAAGAGAAAGACTGAAATGTAAAACTTTAATAAAATGTTTACTATTAAATTTTTTATTAAAGAAAAGTTACACCTATGTCTGGGTATGCTGTCAAATACAGTTCTTAGAAAGAAAATCAGAATCGGCTGGTCAGACTTTAAAGAAAAAAGAATGCCACCATGACTGTGGACTTTTTGGTTTTATGTGCAATCTCTCAACAATTTAAAAGGATTACCATGACATTTGGTGCATATTTTTTGTGAAGCACTATTCAAACATTGGCATACTAGCATGTTATTTTAGTTTTGTGTTTGTATGTCATAGATGGCAATACCTAAATTAGTATGACTGTGATGGGAAATCAATTATTGGTGTCCTATGGTTCTTTAACTATAAACCATGACTGTGGGTAAACACACACAGATCCAAACCACTTACATCTCCAACACAAACAGGATCTAGTGTGGGCAGCTGATAGATGGCCAAGCTGTTGGGATTGTCTCCTCCAGTGGCAAGCAGCGTTCTGGAAGGATTGAGTTCAATAGCATGGATTCCACAGCCCTGCAGGTCCATGCGGGAATGCGAACCTCCCACAGGGTGGTAATGCCGGCCTGCCACCATCACACCCACCACCCCGGAGCCTACACCATGACACTCCCTGTCCTTCAGCATAGGAATGCGTGTTATCTGCCCCGTCAGGACATCAACTACAAAAAGCTGCAGGTAAAGGAAGAAAAGCCTAACATGTCAAAACAAAGCCAATGTTTATGTCCAGTAACCTGACTGAAAGGGTATTCAGAACATATAAACAATTAAGAAACATACGTAGCAATATTAAAACCAAATGTTAAAATTTGGTACTGAATGAGCACATGCCAAAACTCTGCGTGAACCGAAGCTAAGTATGGTTATTTTCATGGAAATTACTAAACTGCCTTTTAATTACTAAACTAATAGTAGTTTCATGGAAACTACTATTAGTCTGCATTTATTATTCAAAACAATAACTCAAAGGTGTGGAAAAAGCAGAAAACTGGTGGATTTTTTACTTTTTAAGGCCAACAAATGAGGACTGATTCTCTCCTGAAGGTACCATATTTATAAACTAGGAACGGGCGCACCGTCTGTTGATCTTACCCTCAATCTTAACTTCTGTTATGAACAAAATCTGAAGAAACTTCAACTTCAATTGTGGTTGGCACTAATACCAACTCTACAGGGGAAAACCACCTATTTCAGACACGTACTATGGTCATTTGAAGTTGCTGACGCTCAGACCATTTCACCCTCAACTGTAAATGCCCCCACAGCTATTCAGGGAAACCCCAGCCCTTTGTTCCAACCACATTTGGCTCACTTACTGACCAGGGTTTCATTAAATGTCTGAAATAGAGTGCTTTCACTAACATTAGAAAATGTTTAATTTTTATAAAATATAATAGTATAATTAAACCTCTTGCAAAATGAACAGCAGCTCTACACTGCAACGGCAATCTAATAAAATCCCTGTGGGGACACTGTTGATTTTAAACACATTAAAGAATCAATACAACAAAGTAATCGAAATTTTTTACAGACAATAGACACTTTTCACAAAAAAACATTTTCACATGTCAACTTAGGAAAAGCAGAAGGTGAATTAATGATATTAATCATGGCTCCTTTCCATTAGGAAAGCCAATTCCAAGGCTCTGGTATTGTGTAAGCTTACTTAATAACATGGCTTATTTGGACACTTAATGAAACTGAGACACTTATTGTTATAAATTACATCTGTGCTTTTCCTGCAAGTGAAAATGCTTCATGCATAAAGATCTGTTAACCAAAGAGTTTCCATTATTGACTGGATTTTTTTTTTTAATAATGACAGAAAAATCTGGAAGCTGTCCATCATTTTGACAGATTAGAACACAGAGGGCAATTTACCCTAACCTAACTTAAAGTAAGGCAACTAAAAAGCCCAATAATTTCTGTGGCATTGATAAATGAGGTGGAAAAAAGAAGGACTGACATGGTGGATGAAGGACAACTGAGACCAACTCAATGCACCTCGCTATGTGGGAGCAGACAGCCCATTAATAAGCGACAGGCTGGAGGCACAAAGTGCGTCTGTGACCACTACGGGTCACAGGAAATCTCACGTTCAGAGCTACTTCTAATCACTTCAAGAGAGAAATGTTGAAACAATTAAGAAACATACGTACCAATATTAAAACCAAATGTTAAAATTTGGTACTGAATGAGCACATGCCAAAACTCTGCGTGAACCGAAGCTAAGTATGGTTATTTTCATGGAAATTACTAAACTGCCTTTTAATTACTAAACTAATAGTAGTTTCATGGAAACTACTATTAGTCTGCATTTATTATTCAAAACAATAACTCAAAGGTGTGGAAAAAGCAGAAAACTGGTGGATTTTTTACTTTTTAAGGCCAACAAATGAGGACTGATTCTCTCCTGAAGGTACCATATTTATAAACTAGGAACGGGCGCACCGTCTGTTGATCTTACCCTCAATCTTAACTTCTGTTATGAACAAAATCTGAAGAAACTTCAACTTCAATTGTGGTTGGCACTAATACCAACTCTACAGGGGAAAACCACCTATTTCAGACACGTACTATGGTCATTTGAAGTTGCTGACGCTCAGACCATTTCACCCTCAACTGTAAATGCCCCCACAGCTATTCAGGGAAACCCCAGCCCTTTGTTCCAACCACATTTGGCTCACTTACTGACCAGGGTTTCATTAAATGTCTGAAATAGAGTGCTTTCACTAACATTAGAAAATGTTTAATTTTTATAAAATATAATAGTATAATTAAACCTCTTGCAAAATGAACAGCAGCTCTACACTGCAACGGCAATCTAATAAAATCCCTGTGGGGACACTGTTGATTTTAAACACATTAAAGAATCAATACAACAAAGTAATCGAAATTTTTTACAGACAATAGACACTTTTCACAAAAAAACATTTTCACATGTCAACTTAGGAAAAGCAGAAGGTGAATTAATGATATTAATCATGGCTCCTTTCCATTAGGAAAGCCAATTCCAAGGCTCTGGTATTGTGTAAGCTTACTTAATAACATGGCTTATTTGGACACTTAATGAAACTGAGACACTTATTGTTATAAATTACATCTGTGCTTTTCCTGCAAGTGAAAATGCTTCATGCATAAAGATCTGTTAACCAAAGAGTTTCCATTATTGACTGGATTTTTTTTTTTAATAATGACAGAAAAATCTGGAAGCTGTCCATCATTTTGACAGATTAGAACACAGAGGGCAATTTACCCTAACCTTAAAGTAAGGCAACTAAAAAGCCCAATAATTTCTGTGGCATTGATAAATGAGGTGGAAAAAAGAAGGACTGACATGGTGGATGAAGGACAACTGAGACCAACTCAATGCACCTCGCTATGTGGGAGCAGACAGCCCATTAATAAGCGACAGGCTGGAGGCACAGAGTGCGTCTGTGACCACTACGGGTCACAGGAAATCTCACGTTCAGAGCTACTTCTAATCACTTCAAGAGAGAAATGTTGCCTGACTTCAAAACTCTGGCTGAAGTGGAGCTGGCAAGTCCAGATTCCAGTGCCGCAGCAGAGCGCAGATTCAGGTTTCAAATCAAAATTATAAGGGCCATGAGAATCCTAGAGAAAATCAACTATGGAGCAGGCTACTGCAGCTCAGCTGAGTTCAATTCTGTTAGCCTAACTTCATGTAGATGGGTTCTTCATATTTTAATGGTAATGGTCTATTTTTTAAATTTGCATTGTTTCTCTTTGCTTGTTTACACACACTGGCCTCAGTGTTTTCAATGCCCTCTGCTGTCACTGCCAAAACAAAGTCATCTGCTTCATGTGGTGTTGATATAAAAAAATGGCTGCACGTAAACTTGTTCCATTTATTATTTAAAAAATGAAATGAAAATAACTACTATTTAATGTCCTATCATTAAACACTGAAAATTAAATTGACAAGTAATAAATTATGTTGGAATTTTTATGACCCTGTCCATCAAAATGACAAACAATGAGAAAGTCTAGCATGACCTCTGGTCTCTATATCAGAATGCCTAACCAATAAATACAGATTAGAAACAAAATTACATCTCACCGTGTTACACTTGGTCCCACACACTACCTGCCGGTAGTTGAGCCACTGTGAAGCGAACACCTTGTTAAGTCGCCCCAGAGAAAATTCCCTCTCTCTGAGGATACCAGGGAGCCTCCCAGCTGCAAATCCCCGCAGACTCCGCTGGAGCCGCAACTCGTGCTGCTGTTGAGGCCTGAATTCCCGCCCCCGGAGGGCCCAAACCACAGAGTGCCGACTGTACCACCACTGCTGGGCATGATGTGACGAACAAGAAGCACAATTGCGCTTGTATGGCACCTGACACCAGTCCAGCTGGAGAAATAAGGGGGGGAAAAAAGGTCAGTGTCCTTATGATTTTCTGTGGCCAGTCCAAAATGTCTCACAAACTACTAATAATTATTTACATACAACTGTGGAGAAGTGAACCCATACTTAAGCTCATTAATCATGTAAACATAAAAATTAAATAGTCTTAAAATAATAATCTAATTCCATCACATCAGCTTCATATTTTTCATCTTCTTCCTTTTTAATATATCATAACCTCTCTGCCATACCCATCCTGCAGAGGACTGTGGGTATAGATGGGTGACAAAAATTACTTGAAAAACCTGAACAAATTAATGGTCTCCTCCAGGATGTCAATGCTCCCATCCATAGAGCACCAGATCTCAACTCAGTTGAGCACCTATGGCAGATTTAATTGGTCTTCAAAAACGGAATATGAGAGTCAAACTGCTAGAACAACTAATCTTGTTATCAGATGAAGGCATCACTAGATTCATTAAGTGATTCTTTTTAAAACCGCTAAAACAAAAAGTGAGCAGTACACAAAGGATCGAAAACATTCAGGGGTTTATACTACAGCATTCTCTACTGACATAAGTATCAACAGTGCCATTATGCAAGACATCCAGCACTTTAAAGAAATGTTGCTTTTGTTCTACCGCACTAACTCTTTTCTCTCCACAATGACTTATTACTGGTCATTTAACTGCATAAGGTAGCCTAATTATTTCTACCCATTATTACATTGTTACATGAAGTCGTTAACAGTCCTGGGCCATGGGGGAAAAACATCAAGTTATTATATTCGCTGGATCTCAAAAGAATTTGTGATGCTTTTATTCTGAGTGAGTGATTAATAGTCTGATAAATAGTTCTGAGTGTGGTTCCGTTGTACTGGTGAATGATGGTGACCCCACAGGCCTGACACACGACTTGGCACTGCTGGCATGCAATATCGTAACGTTAAAAGCTGATCGTATTATGGTTTATGTCAAAGCATAACTTACGTTGCGTTAAACTACTGAGCTCAGGGCTAACTGTGCAGCAAGATTTTCGTGCTAATAAGAAAACGCCGCTTGTCTGCCAAATTAACAAAAATCGCCTCCATGGTCTTGCACAAGACTATGATTACCTAGCCTGCATATATGTTAGCCAGCTAACTGTTTGTTAACGTTACACAGATTTCAGTTTAATCTAGCCACAGGGGTTGCAAGCCAGTGACTTCTGTGCCGGTCCCAAGCCCGGATAAATAGAGAGGGTTGCGTCAGGAAGGGCATCCGGCGTAAAAACATGCGAATTCCATACCGGATCGGTCGAGGCCCGGGTTAACAACGACCGCCACCAGTGCTGTTGACCTACAGGGTGCTGGCGGAAATTGGACTACTGTTGGTCAAAGAAGGAGAGGAGCCTCAATATTAGCTAGCAACAGCCTTTGCCCAGTAATTCATGAGCTAGGTAACGTTGAAGTCTAAATGCGTTTTCGCAACTTCATAACTTAACGCTGTCCTGGACGCTGCCTACATGGTGACAAGAGATGTTCCAAACCAAACCAACGACCGCCAGTGTTATCTACTTAACAAAAATATTTAACTGTCATCGCCTAAGGCGAGGAAGCTAGTCCTGTGGCTAACGTTAGCTGTCGTACTGTTAACGGACTGCCGTTGGCTAATGTCATGCTAAAATTACCGGGTGCTGACTTTCAGATAGAAACAAAATATTTAAATATGGCCACAATTTGAATTACTTACTGAATGGTTTGCCAATATAGTGTATTGGTTACTCTGTTAAATTTCAAAAACACTCTGCCACTGCTTAAATATGATAGCTCTGAATAGCCCAGTGCTAGTTAGCATAACTAAATGGCTAGCTAAAATGGATCCGTACCGGTTTCCGCCTACCTGTTGTTGGTCCTTGGGCTCTCCTACCTTCCTTTTCCTGCTAACTGTTTTTCTCGCCATAATCCGACACACACAGTTCCCTGACCCACATGGAGGGTAAAAGTGACGCTGGACACTTGATCATATAATGGCGATATGCTATTTTGTTCCTTGGCCCCCACTGGTAGCGTCCGACGACGAGGAAGGGCGATTACATACGGGAGAGATTGGTTAATCGTTGGCTAAGATTAAATTGCAACCGTTAGCCTATCTCCCAGGATTCCAAATAATGCTACACTGAGAGCGTACAACCTGTTCTATTTCCACAGACTCAATAGCCAAAGCCACGGGGTTCACGCTCTGCTTCTCTTGCCAAGCCGTGTCAGCAATGGCGAAAGCATTGAGCAGAGCGCAGTCGCACTCAAATTAAGCACCAACAAAAACAAGGTCATTACGTGATGCGTCATGCGAACTCGTTCACGCGAAATGCTTGTCACGTGGTTCTAATTTTTTCAGCTTGTTTTGTTTCAGTGACAAAACTAACGAAATAAGTAGGCCTAAATACTTTTATATTGTAATTCTAACTATGGTATTGTGTAGGATCAGTCAGCATAAATGTAACAATCGTGAGCTTTGAATTTTTAATATAATTTCAGGCAATATAGAAATGAAAAATAAATAGAATTCTAACATATAATATAGCTATTTGTGCTATCTTTAAATAATTCTGTAGTTTAGTAGTTTAGTTATAAGGCTGTTTGATACACAAAAATAAATGCTTTGGTTTTATTAGGATGTGCTCAGACTGTATCACATCTCATGGTATGCTTAAATTGTTACTGTGAACACAAACTCCTGAATATTTTTGTAATCTCAAGCTAAATGGAATATATCCAGGATATGTTAATATTAAAATAATAAACTTATTAATATATTTAATTTATATACATTTTCATAACATCGAGGTTACTAGGTTTTTATAAAGCCATAGCTGTTATTTGCAATCTAGCCACAGGAGTTACAAGCCAGTGACTTCTGTGCCCCTGTTAAGGCCCGGGTTAACAACGACTGCCACCAATGCTGTTAACCTACAGGGTGCTGGCCGAAAATTGGATTACTGTTGGTCGAAGAAGGAGAGGAGGCAGAAGGATTTGTAGACAGAGAGAGATGCATGAGTATAGGTCGGAGAATAGGAATTAACATTGGCACAATGACAGGGAAAGGTAGAGAGCTGGCGAACATGATGGAGAGAAGGAAGGTAGATAAACTGTGTGTGCAGGAGACCAGGTGGAAGGGTAGCAAAGCACGTAGCATTAGAGGGGGATACACACTGTTTTATTATGGTGTGGACAAGAAGAGAAATGGGGTAGGAGTGATCCTGAAGGAGGAGCTCGTGAGGAATGTTTTAGAGGTGAAAAGAGTGTCAGACAGTGTGATCAGTTTGAAGTTAGAAATTGAAGGGGTAATGTTGAATGTAGTCAGTGGTTATGCTCCACAAGTAGGGTGTGAGTTAGAAGAGATGGAGAGATGCTGGAGTGAGTTAGATGAGGTGATGGAGAGTATTCCCAGAGGGGAGAGAGTGGTGATTGGGGCAGACTTCAACGGACATGTTGGTGAGGGGAACAAAGGTGATGAGGAGGTGATGGGCAGGTTTGGTGTTAAGGGAAGGAACCTAGAAGGACAGATGGTGGTGGACTTTGCTAAGGGGATGGAAATGGTAAATGGACTGTATTTATATTGCGCATTTTTCACAGTGTGTTGCATTTTTCACAGTATATATGCTAGTGCTTTTGTACATAACATTTTGAAATCGGGACTTGTAACGGTATTTTAACACAACTTTTAACTGAAGTAAGGATCTTGAGTACTTATTCCAATTACCACTGATGGTTACTTGTCTTCTGTATTTGATCACAACAGCTGGATTCGGGCAACTTTTGTATCTAAATGAAACTGAGCGGTGTTTCCCTTTACTTACAGCAGGAAGAATCATTTCAGGGGGTGTGTCCAGTCTGTTTACGTCCACACAGGGTAAGCAGCGGCAGGAACAGCAACAGTAACAGTAGAGTGTGGCCAGTATAAAAATAGCTTCTACTCAGCTCCTATAAATAACAGCAATGCCAGCAGCTGCCAAATGCTCATGTTAATCTCAGCTAATTTTGCTGCAAGCTGCACACCTCTGCAGCTTCAACACAATCTGATAACGCATTTTTTATTTTGCACTATATATCATGAACAGGAGCATATTTAGTAGCACTAGCAGTTCTTGTAGAGTGGTACAATTCTATTTACTGTGTTCCCTCCTTGATTTTATTGCAAAGAAGGAAACAGTGAAATGTTTAACAGTCTGGGAAAAGTCTATAGTTGTAATGCCTCTGCACTATATATACGGTGTAATTTTGTAATGGCAGTCCTAGATTGCACTGTAAGCCGTTTCCTATGTGTTAAAATCTAGGACCAAATTCTCTAAGTATTACTGCTGCTATAAACCTTGTCCACAAACCAATGAGAACACTGGGCGGCCATTGTAAGGCCCATTTTTTTAATCAAGTTACACTTCTAGCCAAAGGCTATTTTTAGTTTTGCTAGATTGTAACAGTGATGCAGGAATACTAGCACATTTTTACATTGTACAGATAGTTCTACAGTTTAGTGAGCATTAAATGCACAACGTAACAGCTTTAAAAATTGATGTGGTACAGTTTTACACAGTGTGGTTCAAGAGGTAGCGCAGATGCCCCGCAGGCACTGAACACTAAATTTACTGTGATGGTTATTTGCCTTGCATGGTAGCTGGCTGCCATCAGTGTGCAAGTGTGAGTGTAAAATTGTACTTTCTTTTAAAATTATCTTCTAGCCTTGTAGGAACCTATTTGCCTTACACAGTGACCTCTACATATTGTGCACACACTCATCATGTATTTCTGTGTCTTATAGCAGGTAGCTTCAGAACTATGTCCTGTTAGAAGAGGGGTGGGCAATCTTTTTGACTCAGGGGCCACATTGACTTTTAAAATTTGACAGACGGGCCAGGCCAGCACCAGATGCATACATATCAAACATAAACATATAAAAGGCATTACAGTGTTAATACTTACATTCACTTTTAGTGAGAACAGTGTTGTTGTTGATCACCCATTTTTTGCCAGTGCATCGAAGTCTGGTGTTAGTTTTGCTGTGGCAATTCTCAGAACAGATCTGAGGTGTTCATCACTCAACTGGGATCTGTGGGGTGCTTTGTTGGTGTTCATCACACTAAAAGTCTGTTCACACACATAGGTAGAGCCAAACAACACCAGCATCCTCTGTGCCATCTTCTGGATGTTTGGAAATTTGGCTGCACTTAATGAAGCATAAAACTCATCCAGTTTAAGAGAGGTGAACTTCTCCTTTAACACGGTGTCACATTGGAGATCAATCAGTGCCAACTGCAACTCTTGTGGCGCCGTTTCAGGGCCTTGTGTGCTGCAATATGGATTTGCACAGTGCTTCCTGGTGGATTATGCAGTGTAGGAAAATTACCTCCTGCTTAGGGTTGTCCTCTTTCACCCTCTCCTGGATTCTTTTGAGCAGCCTGACATTTTTTCCAGTCAGATTTGGCAATCCATCTGTGGTAACGTTGGCAAGCGTACTCTAAGGTAGCTTGTGCCTCTCGATGACCCCCAATACTCTGGTATGGACACAGTACACAGATGAAGCGAGAGGAAGAGAGTAAAATTACTGGAGGATTTTCCAATTACCTGGTGAATGCAGAGTTTGATTTGATTTATTCATTCAAGCATGTAAAACAGTTGATATGTCAACACATGTAATTTCACACATATCCAACAATAATAATCCAATATCAATTTACTTATACCTAGTACATGCTTGAACGAAGTAGGAAGAAGTTAGACTTATCTAGTCCTACCCCATGACATCATCTTACAACATTTAAGTCCTAAGCAGTATCTCTACATAAACAATTATCCTCTACACCACACAAGTAATATCACACAAGTAATATACTAAAGAATTATTACAGAGTGTTAACATTCATACACCACACCCACAATGTTCTATCTAATTAATCATTAAGCCTGTTCTTGCATATATCTTGATTGACACATACCTTTATATTTATGTTTAAACTCGTCAATTCTATTACTATTTTTTATGTCCACACTTAAATTATTCCATAGTTTTACCCCACTTATGGAAATACAGAATCTTTTTTTGGTTGTACGTATAGCATGAATTTTTAAATTTAACTGACCCCTTAAATTGTATCCCCCTTCCCTTTCATTAAATAGTTTTTAAATTCCACCAGGTAATAAATTGTTCCTGGCTTTATACATAAACACAGCAGTCTTATATCCCACTATATCCAAAATTTTAACAATTTAGACTGTATGAAAGCTGCATTGGTGTGACCCCTATATCCCATCCTATGCACAATTCTTATCGCTCTTTTTTGTAATATATACAATGGTTGAAGTGAGCTTTTGTATGTGTTTCCCCAGTTTTCAACGCCATACTCTAAGTATGGTAAAATCAATGAAGAATACAGAATCCGTAGTGCTCTCCCGTCCAAAATATATCTAACCCTTGCCAAGTTCACCGCTGTGTAACGGGAGATTTCTGAAGGTAAATGCTTTGTGATGACATGTTTATCTGTCTCAAAAAATATGATACAGATGTGTACAAGATCGCTAATAGCATGTTAGCATTCGCTGTAATGGTGTTGCTATATGACTTGCTAAGTGATGCTAATGGACCAAGCTAATTCTATTGTATGCTGTTAATGTAAGCTAACCGCGAAATTAATTGAGCTCGGCATGAGTTTGTGAAGAGACTTTTAGTTGAGAAAATTGACTAAGAGACATTGTGTGTGCTCGCTGAAGGACTTGGACCAGGAGACATCGCTTGGGCTTGGAGGTCAGCCACAGTACGTTGCCGTCCCGCCTAGTTGTTGATGCCGCCTGCCGACTGCATTTGTTCCCACCCATCTCAACATTTCCAACATTGTCCAGTAACCGGTTCATCGAACTGACTGTCCGTCAAAGTTGTGAGTAAAACTGTGCAGGTGTATTCATAATTTGTTTTGGCTTGCTTTGCAAGTGAAAGGGTCACTGAGTTTGAGACCACAACGCACACAAACATCGACTCAGGCCTTCAACGAGTTTTGTTTATTTCAATGACTGTTTTAATGAGCAGAGTGAGTGTGTGTGTGTGTGTGGGGTCCTATATTATTTCATAAGTTGTATATACATTTAATTTTTTTCCATTTGAATTTTAACTAAATTCATGTTTTGCATTCAAAGTACAGTGAGTGTCTTGTATTTTGAGTATATTAAGGTGGATTAAGTTTAAAAAGGAAGTGATAACTGATTAAAACCTTTGGTTTAAAATTATTCTTAGTGTGTAAAATCCTTATTTCATTAAATTAAATTAAATTCGTAAGTTCCTACTAAGT